AGGAATCTTTTAGGATTTTCAAAATTTGTCTCAGGCGACCAAATCATGGCCAAAATCGCACAGTGTGAGCCAAGATGCACTAAGTAAATTTACCCTGTATTATTTACCTCCTCTCGCCACTACACACTCCAGTCCAGCGGGTGGCGCTAAGCACATTTGTTTGTTTGCCAAACACCATTAAACCTCAGAGGAAGAAGTTCAGTTTCACCGCGCTCTCTGTTGTTTTGTCTTGATACTGGTTTAATACAAACGGTTAGAAATGTTGTTTCTGTAAGTAGAAAAATATAGTTTTTGAATCAGGTCAGTAAATACCTGTACTATTCTCATCTTCAACTGAGATCTGCTGCTGTGAAGATGGTGTTTGTTAAAGAGGAGAGTGAGGAGAAGACGAGTGAACCAGAACCCTGGAGAATAAAACACGAGGAACCAGAACCCCGGGGAATAAAACACGAGGAACCAGAAACCCTAAAATGCTAATGAGCTCTGCTCGCCCGGGTATGCAGAATGCAGAACGTTATAAAGCTTCAAGCAGTTTAAGATTTGTTGTAATGGGGTACTTTTTTCAATAATATGCATGTTAGATAATTGTGTAGTTGATAAAACATTTGATAGTTATCCTTATAGAAACATGGGATTTTTGATTTATAATGTTTTAAAAATAATAAATTTAAGATTAATGTACCGCATTAATGGAAATTTTCAGGGACGTATAATTTATACAAAAAATATAAAAAAATGCATAAAAATGACCAAAATTAAAACCTAAGGAACCCTGAATCTTAATGAATAATGCTGACAGTTATAAAGCTTCAAGCAGATTTAGATTTACTTTACTGAAAATAAACCATTCTTTTATTTCAGAGATGATTGTAAAAAACAAGGAGAATGAAGAATCAAGTGAAGTTGAGGAGAAAAATCATGTGAAAACTGGAGAAAAGCCCTTGAGTTGCTCTCAAACCAAACAGAAATATTTAAAGAAAATAAGAGCCAAGAAATCTTTCACCTGCACTCAGTGTGGAAAGAGTTTCTCATTCAAACATCATCTTGTGCTTCACATGACAGTTCATACTGGAGAGAAACCATTCACATGTAATCAGTGCGGGAAGAGTTTCTCACGATCATCACACCTCAAAGATCACATAAACATTCACACTAGAGAGAAACCACACAAGTGTTCACACTGTGACAAGAGATTCAGTTATTCAGCAAATCTGAAAAGACATGAGAGGATCCACACTGGAGAGAAACCGTACACATGTGATCAGTGCGGGAAGAGTTTCACAATAAAAGGACACCTTACAGAGCATATGAGAGTTCATACTGGAGAGAAGCCATTCACTTGTGATCAGTGCGGGAAGAGTTTCTCACACTCATCAAACCTTAAGATACACATAAAGATCCACATTAGAGAGAAACTGTACACATGTGATCAATGCAGCAAAATGTTTTTTAGGGCTTCAGTCCTAAAGCAGCACATGAATGTTCATACAAAGGAGAAGCCACATTCATGTTATTTGTGTGGAAAGAGTTTTTTATGCCTACAAAGTTTGAAAGTACATCAGAAAACACATACTGATGTGAGGGAGTACATGTGCTTTGAGTGTGGAAATACTTTTACTAGAGCAAACTGTTTAAAACGGCATGAGATGATTCACACTGGAGAAAAACCATACAAGTGTTCACACTGTGACAAGAGATTCAGTCGGCCAGCACATCTGAAAAGACATGAGAGGATCCACACTGGAGAGAAACCGTATCACTGCACTGCATGTGGGAAGTGTTTCAGTCATTCATCTGCTCTACACAGTCATACAAATAACTTTCACAGTAAGTAGATCATCTTCAGATCTGATGCTGCCTTCTCACCAAATGTGACACAATAATGAATCAAGCAATAAAAAATATCATCTGGATAAATCAATCCATTACAAACGACATGAAAAAGACACATTATCTAACGCTTTTAGAGTGAATAAAGTTAATCTTCATCTTCAGAACCAGCAGATTCAACTGTGAGATTCAGATCAACTCAAAGATGGAGTTCCTCCCCAAAGAA